AGTGTGTTAGTGGGCACTGACAGAGATACTGACAGGCACCAAGATCAAAAAGCATATGCACTGCTGCCTTTGGATATTTTTGGATAAGCAGTCAAGCTGATGTTCTCAAACATCCATGAATGAGCCGTAAATGCCAGCGTTTCCGGCAGTGGGAGCTACAGATTGGAAAGACACACAAAAGCTGTGATCAGTGAGTTTGCTTCTCTTACCTCAGGTTCTTTGACTTGCTCCTGTGGCTCTCCATCTGCACATGTTGCTTCCTCAGATATGTGGCTCTGCGTGTCAGCAGTGGTCTTCAAATCACCCTAAAAAAGAAAAATCAGCCAACAAACACAGGAGTGTGTGAAGTTTATCTGCCTGTCATGTTTTGCTTTATATGGCATCCAAAGTGGAATCATCATTTATACTTTCCCATGCCAATTACAGCTTTTGCACCACATGCACATGTTAAATAAGTCGACCCTCTCACCTTGCAGTACCCAATGACTTGCTCTGCAATGCTACTGATGTGCAGCATGTATTGGTGCAGTCTCCGTTGGTACTGGAGAGCAGCGAGTTGAGCCTCGTTCTGCAAGGTTGACACCTGGGCCAACAGGAACTGCTCCCTCCTGTTCCACCTGAGCCTCGCCATCCGGGCTTCGTGCTCCAAAGTTGCGCGTCTTTCTTCCAGAGCGTCGGTAACCGTGCGGAGCGCGTCCACGCAGCAGTGTTCCCCTTTGTCTCTGTCCTCACCGGACAGCAGGAGCCCGCATCCTCTCTGACAAACACCCTCAACACGATGACCGGTGTCCGGCTTCGTTTGCGACGCCATCCCGCCGCCTGAGTTTAAAACTTGGCAGCAAGGGTCCTTCTCCCCGCAAGAAGTTGGGCAATCAGCGCACATAGTTTGCGCAGGGAACTTTTCTACGCAGCACAATGAGTTGGGACAAAGTTGTTGTACAAGTCTGAACACATGAGAGCGAGAGCGCAGTGAAAGTTTGAGCGGTCTGCGCAGCTCACGCTGAGCTGAGGGGCTGCGCCACTTCTCTCACAACATGAGCTCAGATGTTGGGTTGATGGGAGTGAGATGTGTGTGAGCACAAAACTTCACCCAGCGCACTCACCTCTGCTCGGGGTCATCATGCCTCTGTGGCTTTTTCCTCTGCTCACAGACAACAACATTTTTTTTTCTTGAATTAACGTCAGACATGTCGCCATCTTTACAATGTGGTGGCTTTCACCCCAGTTTGATTTAGTTCCGCTGTGATAGGTGTCTTGTGTGTTATAACTCTTCTCCAGCAGAGGTCGCCCACTCTTTCACACACTTGGAAACAGACTCGATTAAAAACCCCTCAACAGTGCACATCATGATTGGCATTATCACTGGGGTTTTATTGAACCTCCTCCCAACCCAATTAATTGAGTCTACAGTTTAAACAGTGATGATATGTCACCGAAACTTGTCTCAAGGGGTCAGTGCTCTTTCAATGGCTAAAGCCCAGCTGTAACACAATATGTGCATGGAGACCTTCACTTATAAAGCCTTCCTGCATGAGTCCAGGGCAGTCTTACCGGCTGACACAGCATGACATATTGCAGGCATGTTGGAGAGGGCGTCACGTTTCAGGTCTCCCAGCAAAGCAGTCTGGTTCTACTCTGCCGTGCACCACTTGAAAGTATGTTTTGTGTTGTCTGAGCTGTCAAAGAACAGGTGTAGATTTACAAAGACAATACCACAATCCGTCCGGGGACTGCACACCTGTCTGCAAAAACACATACACTTGGGGGTTAGAAGAATGTGATTTTTCCCCTGTCAATCACTGAAAATGAAATAGTTGCTCTAATATTACTTTATGATGTGATATTAAATTCAATTGGTTTAAAATCATTGTTGGCAAATAGGTATATTTCAGAAGTGAATGAGTTCAAAGTGTGGAGGATGTGATAGGAGGAGGCAGACTGAACCAAGCTGCAGCCCAGGTAACAATGGTCGTGAGTGTGATTTGGGGAAAGTGTTCCACAGCCACCTGGGACCAGACCTATCACACAGGCCATATGCTTGGACTGATAAGCCACTGAATCTGGAGCAAAATCATGGCAGGGGTAAAAAAAAAAAAAAAAAAAAAAAAAAAAAAAAACACACACACACAGTTATCTCTTTCTTTTGTTCTCCCTGTGAGCTGATTTCAGTGAATAACCATTAAGACCCCTGAACGAAATGGAAGGGAGAGGTAAAGCTCAATAAGAATCTCAAATCTGATTCATTTGGTCTGACCTAATCCACAAAGAGAAGTGATATCAATCTACTTTTCATCAGCTGGATACCTGATAGGAGACAAAACTCCAACAGCTGTTTTCTGCCTGAAAAACCAGACATTGACCGAGTCCACGGCCTTATCTGTAATGGAAGACAGATTGAAACACTATCTCTGATATATTAGGTACTGGCTTCGGTAAAGAATGGCTTTCTCCTAGAAATCAAGGGGGAAAAAATCCACTCATAAATGGTGCAAATACTTGAGTTGATAATGAAAGGAAGTCATAAATCATCAACAATGCTCTAGTTTCTCTTATTTGATATGTGAGAGCTGAAACACTGCTATTAATATTTCACATATAACCAGTCTGAAGTTCGACTTTAATCCCACGGCAGCAATGGCTAAGGACACAAGTGATTTTTATTTAAATCCACCTCAGGGGTGTCGGCACTTTATCACATCTAAAAGCAGAGTGAAAAGCAACCTGAGACCACCAGCTGTCCGACCCCAGTGGAGGATCTGTCTGAATTTGATAACCCTGCTCACAACTTTTGACACATTTTCTTAGTATGAGTGTTTAAAGTGAAACTAGCTGGACATGCTGAAGAAAAAATATTCTGCTGTGGTCTCTGCTTTCATCTTGAAGTAACATCAGTTTTCAGACTGGGCTCATGTGATCCCTTCTGGACTCCATTCATCCATGATTCAGTCACTGGTGAACTCAGACTGACTCACTGTGGGCTAAAACTTTAAACAGGGATCTCTGTGTATCCTTGGTTTCCAATCAATCGTCCTTTGCTGGTTAAATAGGACATTTATGTATAATGATGATGATCGCGTGATAGCAGAAGCTCCAAAACAGCTACTACATGGGCTTTGTGGTGAGATTAGTTTCTCAACTGCTGTTTTCAAGGTCAAGAGTGAGATTTGAACCTCGGCTTTTAAATCCAACATGAAAAAGAAGCTGTTAAAGGGCTAAAAGAAAAGGATATTTTACCATTTACAATTCTATGAAGATCATTTGATATGACCAAAAGCTCCAAAGCAGCTAATAAATAGCTACTAAATAGACCTTATGGTGAGGTTGTTTTCCCTGTGTGTAAGGGATCATATCTCTTTTATTGCACTTTTGCCAAAGCTTCATTTGTTCAACATTATAGATGCAAAAATGACTGTAAATCTATGGTTAACATAGCATACGGTATGTATAATGTATATTAGCCATTCATAGCCTTACTCCCAATTGAGAGTCATATGTGAGAGATCCAACTTACACTTTGAATCCTGAACAAACACTAAGATTTTGCATCAACACAGTGTCGTCTTCGACTGTCAGAGGTGGAAGGTAACTATGAACATTTACTTGAATACAGTTCTGAGGGAACCTGTACGTGAGCATTTCCATTTTATGTAACCTTTTACTTGTATTCCACAACATTTCAGAAGAAGAGATTGTACTTTATAGCCTGCTACACTTATCTGACAGTTGAAGTTGTATGTTACTTTCTTTAATATAGTTTAATATATTAGGAGCTTACAAAATATAGTTGGTTGCAGAACAAACTTTCAAACAGTATTTATGAAAGTAACCCCACTTAGACCAGTATAATTAATGGTTACATTTTCTTGGACAGATTAGTCTAAAGCTATTAGTAGGGGTAACGTTTGGGTTGCCAAGTTATAAAAAATCCATTTGTAAGCAGCTTCTCTCCATAATCAGAATTTCTTCTTTTGATCCTAAACTATATTTTACTGTTAGTTGTTTCTTCTTCTTCTTTGTTCTTGTAATAATTAGTAATTACTTACTTACGTACTTACTTATGTAAACTTCTATATTGTGGTATTGCTACTTTGACTTGAGTAAAAAATCTGAATAGCTCTGAAAAAGTTCACCACTGTGAACTGTAACTCTGACTCACCAGTACTCAGTGCTCTCAGACTCATAATCAGCTGCACTCCCACTTAGGTTTTCACGAAACTCAGATTGTTGCATTCCCACAGACTCATGTCAGAAAAAACAAAAAACAGGAGCAATTTAATAGTTAACTACACTTTTATTGTTCCTTGTCCAGCCAATGAGAGGTTCCAGTTTCAACCCTCACATGTGCCGCTCACGTCCAGTGAAGCAGTGAACTGAGCCAAACATACGTCGCCACTGCCACCAGTGATGCCACCAAATCCCAACCATCAAGTGCACAAGACTGCAGGACCATTTCTGAACTCTAATGAGTGAGATTCCTTTAGTCAGTATAAGATTTTCTCTCTAAAAACTCTCCCCAAGACTTTATATGAGATGACTGGCTTAATGGAGCTTAACAGCTAATGCACATATTAGGCTTAGGTCTATACTGTCTCTGACGTATAGGGATGTCACGCAGAAATGGAATGTATTTCATATGAAGCACGGAGGTTGAGAAGTTGCTATGATGCTGATTTCTTGCAAAGTAATGTACAGTTTGTTTCCAGTGTCATGCATGTTAGAATGTAGAGCCACTGCTTTCGGCCAAAATGTCAAAGTTCAAGGCATTCATGCATTTGGCAACTCTTTTTATGATTCGTCGCATGAAGGAAAACTGGCAAAAGCACTTTGTGGTGGATGTTGATATAGTCACAATGTAGAAGCATGGCCAGCATCAGTCACTCAAGAAGTGAATCAGAGGAATTCAAAACGCAGCATTTGTTGTTGAGGGAAATAAACCTCTAAACTGTCCAACCAGAGGTGGGTCAAGACATACAAATATAATAATCATAAACAAAAATGGCAACAGTTGATAATGTTTATATATCTCTGATCACATGTTAATAAAAAGACAAAAATAATGCAGTGGAAACAACGTCATGAGCTTTGGATGGGCTCTTACCGCCGACATGGATGGCTTTGCTTATCTTCTGTTAATACAAGATCATGAAAAATGAAATATACTAGATTACTGTTATAGGAGCTAGGCAAGTTGTCATATTAGAAAATATAAAGTAGCCACAGATGAATCAAACATTGCACAATTATTGGAGGGCATGAGCGTCGCTACCGTTCACTGTAACTGTTAATAGTGACTCTCACACAAAGCCATAAACGAGAATGATGAAATGAAAAATGTTTACATGAAAAAATAAAATGCCAACATTCTTTACAAAGCACCAGCTGGTACCACTGAGGTCCTAATGATACAGTCAAAACAAAAGTACTTTTCTTTTAGGTTTAGGTTCACTAACATGGAGCAGGTTTCAGCATCACTTCCAGCATTGGACCAGATGTTGTGGCAAAGCCTTGATCACTGCACAGATGTACAAATACAACCAGAGGTGTCAAGCAATCAAAATAAACCACTGTTACATGTTTGCTGCAGTTCTGTGTTTGAAACTGCATGTTTGATATGTTCACTTCCTGCTCCTCTTCTTTGCTTTACATTCAGCTTTGCAAGTATGGATCCATGAGCGTGAACTCCCAAACACTTTTCAAACCCACTTTTGTCACAATGTCAACATGCACACAATTTTCAAGTGGTACTCTATTATTAATAGAGAGCTCACATTATGATTTGGAAATAAGCACTGATTGCAGGTGATACCAATCTATTTTTCTTCATAACATCCATAGTATATTAGATAGCAAAATGATATCAGTTATTGGATATATTATTTTAGCATGACATAAATTGCTCTTTTCTCTATGATGCTTGTTATAAAATCAGGTATGTGAGAGTTTGAGATTTGCTTTGACTGTATCTCTGTAACAGAGGATGTGCTTCATTTAGAAAAGAAAACATAAGAAAATGCCACTGAACTGCAAGTAAAGAAAGACATAAAGACATTTTTATAAACTCATACACTTATCCTTCACAGCTACTTGTTTACCTTAAACTATGGAATGCACTGTAGGTTAGATTTTTTATTCAAAATGTCACAGATCAAATGAAGCCTACATTTTAAAAACACTAAACAGCCAACCTGTGCGAAGCGTTAACGTTCACACTTTCAGTCATGATCCATTTTTAAAACAAGTCACTGTGAAAGATAAGTGCAGTCATTTATATAAGGCATATTTAAAAAGTTGACAGAACTCCTTTGACACTCCTCCAAAGAGGCTTTTTGTGGATAAATAAGGGATGTCTTTGTCCATTTCCAATTTTTTCCATTTCTGTCTTTTTCCACAGACATATTCCAGAGGGGAAGAGTTGGAATACGACGTCCCGGGTTACAGGGTGGAACCAAAAGATTGTGGAAAGTCCCAAAGTCCTTACAGGCATCAACCATAAAGAGTCTTCTTCACGGGAAGACAAGGATGGCGCTACATTCAGAGGTTCAGGCAGAGGAGAGCCACCAGGAGCAGGGAGAGTACACTGAGAGACTGGGCAGCCATCACACTTCCACCTGAGAGACACACACATACATCTATGTCAATATTCACTCAGAAATTCACTAGACTGACAGTCAGATTTGCTGCTGATTTGAGAGAAAAAAATGCAATGTCCCATGAGTTTCCAGCTCTCATCCATCAAACTAAAGACCATATTTGGTGTGTGAAGTTTGATATTACACCCCATCTGTGTGGGGATCACCTTAAATGCTCCTCCATTTGTCAATGCCCTGCATCTGAAATCCTCCACGGCTTAAATTCCCAGGTCTGTGAAATCAAGCTGTCAGGTCTGGACTGAACGATAAGGGATAAGAAAAACCACAGGAGGGGTTTCCTCTACTCATCAAGATCAATTACAGAGGCTTAAGGCCTCCTCTATCCAGTCAGCCTACCTGTCAGTCCATCAGCCAGTGAGAGGATCCAGTCACTGGGCTATCAAGGCTTTAGTCATGAACCGTTAAGTTTCCCATCTTTAGCCCTCAATCTAAGGTATGAAACCTGAACTGACAGCTCTGCCCGGGCCCATGGGAACCCTCTAACTGTGACAAATGATAACCTCCCGCCAACTTTGAACCTGGTATAATCCCACTAGCAAATGGCGGGCCAAGACCAAACAGTCACAGTGTGTCACCTCACCACTGTGGATTTAAAATGTGATTAGATAACTGAAGGCTTTCTTTATTTCTATTCCACTGATGTGAAACTAAACCTGGGTGAGGATGGCATAATATTTTTTTCACAAGTGATTATTCTGAGTCATTAAATTTAATTTAGATGCTCACCGAACAGAAAATACCACTGAATGGAAAGGAAGGCTCATTCTTCTAAATTAGAGCCTTTGTCATAAAGTGTGTGTGTCTAGCTTAAACTGTGTTATATAGAAAAAACATGTATATATATATATATATATATATATATACACGTGTGTGTGTGTGTGTGTATATAGCTTAAACTGTGTTATATAGAAAATATATAGACAGACACATATAGACCAACTCCTGACTCCTTCAACATTTCATTTTAACATTATTTTACTTTATTACTATGATAGTCTGTAAAACTGTAATGGTTATTTATAAAAATGTTTTTCTTCATCAAAATAGTGACCAATCAGGAGAGTAGTTCAAGTTCAAACTTTTATTAATTAAACTTGAACCAGATTTGCTTACAAACAAGGGTCATGAGTGTTACCACTGCACTATAAATAATTCAGAAACGTGAATAAAGGGGACAAGTTCACACTGAGGCCTGTGTCCATCACCTGTGATGTGGATTCGTGCCACAGCCCCATCTCCTCCTTCTGAGTGCGCCCGGACCTCCACAACATAGTTCCCATCTGTGGGCAGGGGAAGGTCTATGTACCGCCTACTTGTTGTGTACAGAGTTCCTGTGGAGTGGCCCTGCTGCCTGTACAGCACCTGGGTACATGCACAAATAAGGTATAAATGTAAGGTACCCAACAGCTACTGTTTTGCCTCAGAGAGATTTAACCTGCACTAAAGTAAACTGTACTCACTTTGTAACCATCTATCGATGCCTCGTTAGCCAGCGGTTCCACGTGCTCCCAGGCAATATTCACTGACTGGCCCTTTAACTTTTTACCTATTATTTTAGGGGGTCGACTTGGAGCTGGTAAAAGACACAAAAAAGTAAGGAAAAACAATTATATCAAAGTGATTCATATACAGTAAAACATATACTATACATGGTTCCGACATGTTGTTTTCCATGCAGATCCTGCTGGTTAATACTAAACCGCTTTAAAACACAACATACGAGGTTTCTTGGTGTGGATCCGGAGGTGTTCGCTGGGTGGCCCGTATCCTGCAGAGTTGTAGCCCCGAACCTCAATAAGGTAATGAGAGTCGGGCCTCATACCCTCCAGCCTTGTGTGGTTCTCCTTGCCAGGCACCACCACCCTCTGAGCCCCACCCTCACTGTCTTCCTGATTCCTCCAGTACTTCACCTGGGACACACAGGCACAGAGGTGAGATGGGTAGGATCTAAAATCTTGGTTTTAAAGCACTTGTAAGAACTGATTCATAGCACGTGGAAAGGTAAAATCTCATAACAAGCAGAGTACAAGTAAAAAAGAAAAACTAAGATGGAATATAAAACTAGCAGGTGCAAAAGTTCTTCTAATGGGCGTTTCAAAAAACATGGTTTTAGATGATACATGACCTGAACAATAGTTCATCTCTTGTTTGTTTTTTTTTTTTCCAGCATGCCTCAGTAAAACTTTCTGCTGACCTGGTATCCATCAATATTGCTCTGTAAGAGGGGCAACCACCACACGATGGCTTCTGTGGCAGAGAGAGCTCTGCCGTCAACACTTACGGGAGCTTCAGATGGAGCTGAGGAGAGACACAGTACACACTGTGATAAATAGGTTACAGCACAGTAAGAGAACCATTTCAAGGACATGCCCTTCAGCGATAATTTTTATATTGCACACACAAAACTCCAACGCAGCATATTTGCTGTGTATGATTATGCACCACACAAACTAATGGATCCATTACCCTGACCATAAACCACCTATCGCTTCCTGATTTGTGTCTATTGGCTTTACTAATGCCATTTTTCACTCAGTGGTGCTTATGCATCGTTTTAGTGATGTGAATTAATCATTGTAAGCATAGAAAAGTGAGAGAAATCCTTCTTGGCCCACATTCCTTCACTAGGCCATCGTACACTTCTCCGTGACTTATGGGCCAGTTATACAGTGTGTGTAAACTGTCCCTGCCAGGAAACTGTCCTTGAATGTTAAATTGTCACACTGGGCCTTGAACCAACAACCCATCACATAAAATCACTGCGTTTAACAGAGACTGATGTAGAAAAACAATGCTGCACAACAAGCATGCACACAAATACAAACGATCACACGTACGCCTGAGCGACAGAGACAGAGCGTTTTGCAGGCTTGGCTAGAAAAAGGATAGACTTTCAATGGCAAGCGTTTCCCCAAAGTGTGCTACCATGACAACGGGGGAATCTCTGTAACCCATCGTGTCTGGGTTGCCAGTGGTTATCTCAACTGTCTGTCAGTGGAAGTTAATAAGTAGGCTAAATGCTTTGCATCCTTGGGCGAATTATCAGCTTTATGGTTCATGCTACGTAGATCATGATAATCCCCCCGCAAGAAAAGAGAGAGAGGAGAAGATGGGTTCACTTTCAAGGGGTATTAAAATTCCTCACAACTATACATGAGAACTCCTATTAAATGGGTCCTACTCCACTGAAAACATTGGTGGCGATAAGTAGCTAACACTGACAGATTGAAATAGCAAAGTGTCGGCATATTGAAGGATTCCTCGTTCCCTGGGACTCTGAGAAAACAGGACCAGGTCGTTCTGTGACACTGCTCTCAGATTGTTTTGGCACATTTCCGCATCTGCGCTTCAGTGTTGAGTAGGAGCTATGAATTTCTTTTAGTGCTTACCATCCTGTGCAGAGTAAATGATGGCCGTTAGGCTGTAGGGTCCCTCTCCTTCGCTATTGAATGCTTTGACTTTGACTTGAAACTCCGTCGAAGGAGGGATGGACGACTCTTTGTGGACATAGCGGTTGGCCTGTGGGTCGGCTACGATCACCCTCCTCCACTGGTATTCGTCTTGAGGTTTGAAGGCCACAATGTAGCCAAAATTTGGCCCATAGTAATACTGTGGCTGTACAGGCTGATGACCAAAAAAAAACCCATTACTGTTAATTACCTCAAATGTTTTATCCAACACACATTTCAAACCTGGAATTAAAGTCTTAATCCTGTCAGATTTCACGTCATGCACATCATGCATCACCCCCTTATGCCTGTGCTATGTACCAGGATTAATGGCAAGATTCGGAAAGGGCTAACTCCAGTAACCAGATGATGTTTACATATCTCTCAGTAAAATGACGGCATTCTGTGATTTATATACAAATAGTTGCGGCAGTTTGCTGGCTCGTCCCTCTTAATCTGCCCTTACGCCTCATTTCCTCTGCTGGCACCCTTGCTTTATCATCACACCATATGTCCAGCAAGACATGCCTGCATCGCTAACCCCTAAACACATCGTCTCATCCTCCAGCTGCTCTGGAATTGAACGACCATGCCTCAGCCAAGAAAAAGGCAATTTACTCATGAGAGTTAATTTATCAACAGCTGCATCAGGGGGAAGGAGAGGATAATAATTCAGTTCAGTCATTGATTTTTGTTGATAGTGATTGTTTTGTTCCAGCCAATGCTTATTCTTCAGTTCCTCTACATGTTCTGTATGCTCTGCGATGTGCTGTCCTCAACTTCTATAGTCCTCTTCCTCATTTTTAATCTGCTCACGCACAGTACTACGCTGTTGTCCTCCAAAACTGTCATCAATGGCTTCCTTTTAATCTCTGTTAAAAGGAGACTTGCGTCGCATTAACTTGCATTCTGAACTGAATGGTTTCTCTGTACCCATTTTTTTAATGTTTGATTAATTTTCCTGTACCACTTTTTATTTGTTTTGTCAGACTTTATAAATTGAAATAACAGAGTCATGGGCATGCAGCAATCTGTTCTCTTTTTATTATGTATGCCTGCAAACCAGCATCTCATTAGAATAGGTGTGTGTTTATCCTCAGTTTTGTATCATCAAAGTGTTTGTAATTCATGGTTCTGAATTTCTTTTTTTTTCTTCTGTGAAGTATTTCTTAACATTGTTTCAAAAAGTAATAAGGTTATTATCCTTTTTCCTCAGGTAACTTTTAGTGGTTTAGCATGTGATAGCAGCCCAGTGCTTTTACATGAACTTGTAACCTTTTCACCCCTACGCCCAGTGGAAAGTCCAGACCTACCGTCCATGTGATGGTCAGTTCTCTGCTGGTCCCTCCGCCCCCACCGACGTCCAGGGGCGCCACCACAGGAACTACAATGAGACAGCAAGAACAAAACTCTGAGCCCACATGCTAAAAAACCCACACAAACAACGCCAACCCACACAGGCTGTAAGCTATCCCTGGCAGCACTACTGAAACATCCTTCCTCTGCAAATATAATATCAATGTCTTCTCCTGAGCCAAATGCAACACCTTAATGTCCATGTGGGAACCTTGCCACTGAGGGAGACAGAGGGGCAAAACTTCTCTTGTTTTGCTTTGAGTCTAATAGCTTACTCTCAAATGATGATTATTTTTTTAAGAGAGGTTACTGTAGGCCTGTGATTTCCATTTTATAATTGAATTTCAGTATACAGTTTCAGCAAAGTGCTCATTTGTAGAGGTTTGTGTGGTGAGTTTGGCAGCATGCTTCTACTGTAGGAAGCGTAGCATGATGGGATTTCTGCTGACTCATTCCTACAGCAATACTTAACATAAGTAAACAGTGCTATAATAAAATGATGATGAATAAATATCAGAATGGAAAGCTGGACTATAGCAGTGCATTTCCATGACCTTTCAAGTTATTCTGACTCTTTACCCCATACATCTTATTCACCCTATGTTAGCCTATAGTCAGGACACAATCTTACTTGCTTCCAGGGTTTTGTCTTTAGGTGACGGGCTGCTTGGCTCTCCTGTCCCAAGAGTGTTGGTGGCAATCACCCTGAACTCATATTCTGTCCAGGGGAACAAATCCACCACTGTGGCTGTCTCAGCATTGCCCTCTACATCTGCAGGAGCTAGAGAGAAATGCACAGATTTCAGCACTGAGCAGCACAGGTTGTGCTGTCCTGCAATTTAACAAAAATATCCTTAAAACAATAATGAAGTTCTGTTTTGGGAACCCATTCCTATATTTTAGTCTTGGAGGCATGACTACATTACAATTTAGCCATTTTTACGAGACATTAACTACCATGTAGGCCGACAATATCACTATGTGGCATGACCCAAATTATTATATCACCACAGTCAGCTCAGCATTAAGGTAGCAGTGTTTATTTGACCAACTAGTATGGAGTTCTCACACGTAGTGGCATTCTTCCAGACATCCTTTGAGAAGGAGTCCCTGTACTGGACAGTATATTTGGAGATGGGGTTGTGGTTGTCTGCTCCACGGCTCCACTGCAACGTCACACTCTTGTCAGTTTTGTTTATCAGTCGCACCCCACCTGGGGCACCGGGGGGACCTGGGGTGAAGAAAAGAATAAGAGACAACTTAAAAGTGGTGTTTGATGGGTGATGAGCACAAGTGTGGCTGCAGAGCTGTGTAGTAGGAATTCTCCACTTTGACTTGTCCCTCAGGCAGACAGTGACCTTTATCTTCATTCAAGCTCATGGAGAAATTCTTGTCAAAAGTCCTGAGTCATTTAACAACTTTTTATTTCAACATTTGCCTCCAAAATGACATGACAGTGTTTGATGCATATGGAACGCAGTACATCATCAGCCCTTACAATTCCTCTTGTTAGTGTCTTTTTAAGAGACATCAGCAAAGACTGATGGATTAAGGCATTAGAGCTTAGAGCCCATTGACACATATGAAGTGAAGCTTAAGCAGAAGCTTTTGAATCCAGTGTTTCTCTTGGTCCTCCTGCTCCTCTTGATTCTTCCTTTGAAACATAAAAATGGTCTAATAGAAAACCCAGACTGTGTCAGGGTTAGCCTCCCAACCCGCAGCATCAGAAATCAGCCAGGATTTACTTTTTCCAAGTCATGAATATGAGCCGAGACAAATAAGGCGATTAGACAGCCAAAGCTGGACAGCCCTTAAGCTTCAGCTCTCCTCTAAGAGACGGAGAGAGAAATCTAGTTTTTTATAATTCAATGTAAGGGATGAAATATTGCACAGATTTTTTTCTATGTCTGTACAATACTGTGCCATATGGATGAACGCTTAGCACAGTGTGTATTTGAACTGATAAGGTTCAGTGAGATACTGTATCCCAACAACCAAATTTAATAAAGTTTATGAATAGTTCTCCTAATTCACAGGCACTTAAGTTAACACAGCCACATTTCAACACTGTTCCAGGCGAGACTGTAACATTACGCTACAAAAACACACACACACCCATCGTACGAAAACAACTCTTCTCCCTATCTCAAATCCCTACTAATAACAAGCTACAGGTGCAGAGCTGTGTTGTTAGCTTCAACAATCTCCCGAAGCAGATCTGCTTCCTCATCTGCTGTGATAAATGGCCGTCTTTCATCTCTCCCTCACTGCGCCCCGGACTGCTGGCATTTGGCACTCCATTAGGAGCGGCCCTGGGCCTGTGTTTTGGTTCCACTCAGGGAGACGTCACAGTCAGCCGCTGTGCGTTCACCTGGCCGTCTGTCAACACCTGCTCTGAAAGCAGCAGCAGTGGCAGCACACCCAGGGCACAACAGGGATCACTGGCAACCAGATCACTGCAAGAGTTCTTGGTTTCCTATCTGAAGAGACCCTTTGTCCGCCAACGCTGAGCCTGTTTCAAGACCCGAGGGGAGGGCTGTAAGGCAAGCTCTCACTCATCAGGAAGTGGAGGGTGAAAACAAAGCCTGATGAATCATCCAGGAGGTGAAATACAGTAAATGACAGACAGAGGACTGCGGAAGTGTGGCAGTGTTTATTTTGTGCATGATTATATCTGTATATGGCTAAAAGAGCAAGTGCTGAAATCAACAGCACACCGTATCAAAATATTGTGTTGAGAGAAAGAAAATCCATCATGTTCTACATACTAGTCGCCAAACACTCACCACAATGCATTACACAACTAATAACTACAAAACACACTAGTTGCTGTAATGCTCTCTTTCTCTCTCTATAAAGTGCTACTTTATTCAGTTATAATGAAGACAAGTGGAAGCTGACACTCTATTCATAACAGTTCTTAATGGCACAGAAGCATTGCTTGTTCTATTCATTTTAATTAGGTGTACTGCTGTGTCTAACAATGCAACCACAGCAACAGCTTGTTATTAAAACTCATGCCAAAAAAAACATTCATACAAAAAATGTACAGTTTATCTTCTTAGTTGGCTAACTGGATGCTTTGGATAAATATGAGCTAATTTGCAATGTGCCAGCATTCAGCCAAACTATGTGATGTAGAGGCCAGGCACCAGCACATATGTCCTTGAGTTGAATTTTTCACTATTTTTGGAGAGGCTGTAGCCACTGCTTGGTGTCTAAATGCATCATCTTTGAACAGACAGTCTAGGTGGTAGTGGCAGATAGTTAGTGTTCGCTCTGTGTCTCTGTCTCCTGCATGAGGACACAATTCACTTCCTTCCATAGCTCCTTCCAGCTCTCTCTCTCTCTTTCTTTCTTTCCCATGGAGTCTCGGGGTTGACAGATTATCCCGCAGAACAGGCTACGGTCTGGTTACTCTGGAGAGATTTACTTCTCTTCAAACATGTACTGGACAACATACAGCACTTGTGCTGTCTGTCTCTGTCTCTTCCTCTCTTATTTTCACACACACATGCACTTTCCAGCTGTATATTAATAACAAAAATAAATAAAAGTTGGAGAAAATTCTAATGAGTAATTCAGGAATATGTGTCCGACAAACTTTGGTGTTCTTGTGTTCAGTTTAACAGACTCTATATAATTAAAGCTTTCAAATCCGTAAAGCATTTCTCTAGCTCATTAAATGCTGTCAGGGCAGTGTGTGTGTGTGTGGTTTGATCAGATTTGATTGACAGTACCCAAAAAAACCTATTGACTGTCTTATATAAATAAGAAAAAAAATATAAATACTACTTAATCCTGATTAGTGACATCACGACAATCCTGCTGACTTCAAACCAGTGAGGAGAGCACAGACAAAAACACAGAAACCTCTAATGTAAAAAAAAAACAAAACAAAATTGTTATAATTTTGGCAGAGAATAGTGTTTGGGCTTTTAAGACATTTATGTACAAAACTGTATGAATATGTATAACTGCACCAGTCATGACTCACCCCTGACGACCAGGTGGGCAGAGGCCGTGATGTTGTCAACGGGGGTCTGTGCGGTGCAGCTGTAGCGCCCGGCATGCTTCAGCTGGACGTTTTTAATCAGTAGCTCTCCATTTGAGCTCCCATTCTGCATAAAACAACAAAGCAGACAACAGCTCATTTAGGAGTGAACAAAACGTGATTCATCATGAGGCAAAGTGCTCCTACTGTGTGCCTGTCAAAAGGAAATGATCATGTTAGATATTTTCTCACTCAGCCTGAAACTCATCTGGAAATAAGCATATAATTATTTCAGTCACTTGCAAGACCAGAGGGACTGAAATATCAACCAATTAGGTGACGTGGACATGGGCTTCAGCTAAAGGGCTATCATCTCTTTCCCTGTCGAGAAACGTCAGGCTCCACACAACGTTGGCTTTAGACAGCACCGTCACTGTAAAAAGGTAAAACCACCACAGAAATCTACTTTAATTTACTTTAAATGCATGACTGCATTGGTTTTGCTAATACCACACAAACAGCATAAAGTGGAGCTGGACCCCATCTTTAGGAGGGGAAAATCCTCCTTGTGTACAAAAATGGGGAATCATCAATCATTATCATAATTTGGTGTTTGTTTAGCAGGCAGAGTGACAAATGAAAAATGCTGACCACTAGCTTACGGTTAGAGCTGCGCTAAGAGAGAGAGGGAGTATGTCATGTCAACAATAATGAATGTTAGCAGAAATTGCTATTTAACTGATGCACAATGCACAATTCCACTCAGGGAAGGAATGTGCAATGGCTGAGTCATATTCATTTAAAACAGGCCGTACTTTTCCATTTCAGGTATTCCAGTGAAAATACTACAGGCATCAACCCAAACTCAAATATGAATTGACATGGATGAACTCCAGGCTAAAGCTAAGAGTTTGTAGTCATGGAAAAGATGTGGCTACCATGTTAAACTATGATTATTTATAAAAACATGAACTAACCAATATGATGTCTTACCGGGGTACGTTCATAATGTTGGCCATCCTTGTGTAGGTCAATGACTCTGCCATCCAGGGACCAGATGAAAGTGATGTCCAAAGAGGGGTCATGTGACGCAGCACACTGCATCCAGGCATTTTCACCCACTTTAACGTCAGCGTTGGATGGTGCCAAGGTGATCTTTGTGGACTCTGGGGAAAAACACAAGAAGTAGAGGAGATCAGTGTTGATAAGTAAGAGTTCAGTCCAGCCTTTGAATACATCAGTCCAGGGTTTTTTTTTTTTTTTTTTTTTTTTTTAGAGGAGATTTGATTCAACAGAGTCAAGTTACAGGCAAACAACTTAAATGAAAAAGGGAATCACATAGTGGACGGATCTATGCTGTTTTTATGAAATAGGTGTAACTGTTCAATACATGCACATGTCCAGGAGAGGGCAGAAAAGAGCTGTATTTCCACTAAAAATGTCTGACAGCTAAAATTGAATGTCTTAAAAAATGACAAGCAAAAAAAAGCCCAAACCGATGTTATTATTTGCTATTCAATCAAACAATCCCGACATGTTCATAACTCAAGTTTATTTCTCATCTTTCATTGAACAGTGGTGAAGACTCATCTCTTGTCTCGTCACATCTAATCTAAAGCACTTCTCCTCTTGCCTTGGGGGGAAAGACCGAATATCTACCAATAGCCTGTAGCCTGTACACTGTCACTCTGCTCAGAGAGACATAATTCAACAACCGTAGACATTTGGAGGTCAGGAAGGTTTGGTGGGACAGAGAGTGACAGGAATGATTGCCAGCCACGGCTGACATTAGTCAAAGCAACACCAGCTGTCCTGGAAGCATCAGGAAAAAAAAGGCATAAAGAGAGTTGTCAATTAAACATTGTTCATTAGCTGGAACTTGCCTGTAACCAACAGAGAGCCGACGCTGTTGGCCTTGCCCCGGTCATTCTCTGCGAAGCAGGTATACCTGCCTTCATCTGCTCGCGTCACGTTGAGGATCTCCAGGCTCCCATCCTCCCAGATGAACACCCTGAGGAGAAAAAATAATTAATTCTTCACACACTGAAGTAAGAAAGAACTATACGGTATAAAATATTCAGCACCATACGAAGGTCAAAAGTCCATGCGAATGTTATTCCATGGATATGTGGATGATGAAAAATGATGAAAGAGCTCTGAATGTCTGCCAGCACTCTAATGGATATATGGTTCTCTGAGGAAAAAAAACAGTAAGTGAACTTGAAACTACTCAGCAAGAAGCAACATTAAATTGTGCTAAAGGCAAAGGCAACAATGTTTGATTCATTTTTCACTGCATATTTCATATTCATGCATGACAAACAGCATCGTGCCAAGCTGCCCCGTCACTACTCCACACCCTCTCTCACGCAGACGGCAGCCATAGAGAGAATGAGGAGGCATATACTGCATAGTAATTTGGCTGCTGCTCCTCCTGCTGCGCGTCCCACTGTGGTGAATGGGAGTGTGTGAGATGGGGAGAAGAGTTCCGGGGTCTCAGAGCTTCCAGACGAGGCTTTTTTGTGTGTCAGCGAGGAGCGCGAGGGTTTACACATCCAGTCTGACCAGACTGATGAGCTTGAGACTGAGCTTAATGTCAACCAGTGAGAGACGGCAGAGCGGTGCACAGACAAAAAACCCAAAAGATTTTGCTGTCATTCAGTATATAGGAGATCTACAGCTTATCAGAGCTTACTAGAGCTAAATCACTACTCTGTATGTGTCTCGCTAATAGTGAGACTTTACATTCTCAGATATTTGTCTTTGTGCTAATATGACCCAGATATGTCTCTCAGTCAGAAAAAGATTGATATTTGCATTAACTACTACTACAAAAAAAAACTCATCCATCATGAACCATCCACTCTGAATCAAGACAGACAGTATTTTCAGATCAGAAGACATAAGGAAGTGTGCCATCTTATCAAGAGACTGCTCACCTGGTAGAGTTGGAGAGCAGCTCTGTGTCTTTGCTCCAGGAGAAGGTTGGCTTCGGGGCTGCTTTGGGTCGACATTCGATCACCACCCGGCCATTTTTAGCTGCCAGGACTCTCTTCACTGGGTTGTGTTCAAACGTGGGAGCGCAGGCTGAGGAGGGACAGTATGGATTATTCATCACAAACTTAGTAGAATATGCATTAACTGCAGGCATGCATACATTTATGACACATTTTCAATTCATAAAAGTACTTATGTAAGCTATTGTGCATGCTACTATGAATGATCAATGTCAGTCAATTTTCTCATGTATGTGTTTTTGTTGCTTTTTCGGCAATATAGAAGTTATTTTTCTTAATAAAATCTGACATAGCACTACATACGTCCTAATGAGCTCCAGCAAGTGACCTTTAAATCTCTGATGCAGCCATTTGTGCTGTAGCTGCAGCCAAAGTTTGACTCACCAAACACACGCAACTCTGCATTGGCATAGATGACTCCATGGTGATTCTCTGCTTTGCACTGATACATCCCTGAATCATCAAACGTCAAGCTGCTGAACCTCATCTCATTCCTGTCAAGCTGTGGAAAATAACAGGAGTGTAACGTTAAAATATCATCATTCTACATTTCACCATTTTCATGCAGTTCAATTCTATTACTAAGCACAGGGGTTAAAATCAAACTGTTGATTGTTGACATCCACGGAAGTATAGATGACAATCAGTTAATTTGACTGGGAGGAGATTCCATTAATACATAATGATGTATCCAGCAGCATGTATCAAACAACCTCCCCCACTCGGCCGTCATTAGCTGCAACTCTCCTGGGTATTTTTTTTAGACCTGATGACAGTTGTTTCTATGGAGGGTTACACAACCCATTCTGGCTGGCACCCACTCAACAACAACAGATACTTTCTCCTGACATGATGTGTACCCACAGTGCCAGCTTCCTGTCACTGCTGTGCTACTGTAACATGCACACTGAACAGTTTCTATGAGACCTGAAAGAGCTCGCAGTAATTTACAGCTACAGTTAAAACGCTCAGTTATAGGACAATAAAGACTTATGAGTTTGAATATTACCGGTTCTCCATTTTTCAGCCAGTGGATGCGTGGTTTAGGTTTGCCACTGGCTACACAGGACATAGTGTACTCGCTACCGAGGTCTTTCTCTGTGCTGATGATGTGCTCCACCCACTCAGGAAAAGCTGCAAATGAGGAAAATCAGAGCTACAGTGTTTACAGAAAAATATGAGAAAACTACAAAGCTACTGAATAACCCTAAAGCCGATATGGGGTGATACTTAAAGCATTAAAGTAGTTATCAGTTCTAAAAAGAGAAACACCTGAGAAAGTGTGCTAGGTAGTGATAAGAATAGAGGGCTGGTGAATCTATCCCTCAGAGTGCCTTGCTGAGGATAAATGAAGCTGATAAAAGACTTTTTGTAAAACTTACATTTAAGTAATGTGCGTGTTCACTGACATGTTTTATAAGAACAAGGGTGGCATGGTAAACAACATACTTCTTACCTTCTACAGACACACGTGCAGTGTGGTAGTCCTTTCCTCTCGAGTTCACTGCCTCACACCGATAGGTGCCCCCGTCTTCAAACTGCACATTGTACAGATGCAGGTGAGCCCCTGCCATCTCGTGATTGGGTGGCATCGGTCCGTCTAACTTCTTCCAGTGGATCTCAGGGACGGGGCTGAGAGTGAGAAAGAAATTAAAATAATACACGAGACAGGTTTTAACTCGTAATACATAATATATATGCATCATTGCACTCGAGTCATCATCATTCTGAGACATGCTTTCTAAATGATTTAGCCCTGTGAGTAGGCAGTGATTCAAAGAGCTTTCATTCAGTCTATACTGCTGTAAATGTCATTATGTCATCCATGAAGGGTGAACTAATATGGTGTTTTGAGAGAGTGATACATCCCTATTATTATAAATTTTGTATTTGCGTTGTCAATAGTAAGTATGTATGTACTGATGTGCTGGGTCATTTAAATGACCTTATTTCATGCCACAACAATAACAGAATAAACCTTTTCACTTACTTCCCCAAAGCGAAACATTCCAAGGTGATGTTCTGCCCCACCAGAGCAGTGGTGTCTGGGAACTTGACATTGAGGTCAGCTGGGTATTTTCTGATGGGACCTGAGAGGAATAACAACAGGCCAGCATTATAGTTCATGTGCTAAACATATGTCTAGCTGCTAATCCTGAAATAAACAGTGGTTTGAAAATGACAAATTTGGTGTTAATTTTAACTTCAGTATCCAGGTTTGTCACAGTGCCCGTCATCAGTTTGTTGGATTGATGTTATCCCAGGAAGTTTTAGTAGCAACTTTATGAACTGTGTTTGTCTCTAGCATTCCCAAGATGGCAGATCTGCTAATTCAAAAATTTAACTTGTGAACTTGATTTTTGCCGTGGCGTCCAGATTTTTTGTTGTTTTATGTATAACATTGTGGAGTTCGATTTCTTGACATCTCAGCCACACGTCTGTCATGTCTGTACCGACTGAGTTACTGCAGCAGCTGAGGATGAACATGGTTCAGTTCATTTACCAGAGCATTTCTTCGGCTGATGGTTTCAGTTTAAGCAGGAGAGTAGCAATAATAAAACATATGATTTGTGTTGCCCGCATGACAGTATCAGTTGATTATATATTCACATAGTATCCAGGTTTCTCATCCTGGTCTCTAAAACCAGCTAGTGTTCACATGCTCAAACACATAGCATGCTGCAAAAACCAGATCATAACTGCATAAGTCATACACAAGGCTTTAAAAAAGCCTTGGCAACATGCAAAGATATTCACTCCCACACACACATGGACACAAAAACTAGTTAAATACAGGCCACATCATAGCCAGAAGCCATCGCATAATACAAATATGCATGAGAGAGCCCAAACAACTGTTCAGCTCACTTCCTAATCTCTCTGGTGGAACAAAACATTCCAGTTGTGATCCACTATTCAAGATGCATTTGCCACATGTGAAGTCGGCTTTAAGTTAGATGACTATGAAAGTAAACATTTGATGGATTCTGGGAAGACCCCTAAGGAAATTGTTAAAATGGGTGCCTAGTTTTACATAAGTGACTCTTACATCAAGCTCTGCAAAAACACAGAGCATTAACACACATAATCACATTGCTTCAGTTTCTGGTCTTCATCTCTGAGGCTGTTCATGTTCCAGTTCATTCTTCATAACATGCTGGCTCTGTCTTAAAGGAAGTCTCAGTCTACTTCTGAGCTAATTTGTCCCTGTAAATCTCATTCAAAGTGCCAGTGGAATGACCTTATCAAATTTAACACTATTGTTTGGTGCTTCAGCAGGGACAGGAGAAAAAAAAATCAATGCAGTATTTTGCTGCAACCAGGCAGAGTCACTTCTTGTCTTCCTGCTTATCTTTGAAACTCATCTCTTTAAGAAACGAGATACTCAGATTGTGCTGTATCCTCACACCTCATTTTGCTGGTAAAACAGTTACAGCCTGGATATAATTTCTTTTTTGTTCTGTAGGGACCTGTGTTCAATCTGTTTGTTGTACTTCATTGTTATACTGAGCTTAAGTACATTTTATACCTCGAGACACAGTGCGTCTCTGTATACTGCATTAATTGCGGTGCATTGCAAATGTTATTGTGGCCCAAGTCCCATTCTGTCTTTTATGTGCATCATATAAAATCAATGGTTGTAAATCTGAAGAACCCAGAAACCACAAACCACTGCTTGAATGTGATCATCATTCATGGAAAGGTCAGAAATAAGCAACAGGAAAGACAATGGGTGGTAGGAAGTGAAGTACTAACGTTCAGCCTGAGGCACTAGGGGGATGTAGTTGGAGAAAACGCTCTTGGAAATGGACGGGCTGGACGCAATGCAGGAGTAGTTGCCTGTGTCTGAGGAGTCCACCTTGGAGATATAAAGGTTACCATTTGACTGGGAGACAAAGCGCCTCTTGTCCAGTGGGATGAAGGTGGGAAATTCATTGAGGATCCATCGGAATGACAGCTCGGCTGCAGAGAAAGAGACACGACAAAACACCACCTGTCAATCAAGACTCTGGACACATAGCAACAGCTCTGGTAGGAGCCGAGGGGATTAGATGTGTGAGCTGACTCATTTTGAATAATCTGCACACATACAAAATAAAAATAGCACCATTCTTCAGCGCTGAGGGAAATGTATTATTCAAGCATCTATTGACCTTTCAGATGAAATCTTATAATTCTTTTAGCTGAGAGGCATAATGGAGAGCGACCGTAAGCACATTGCCTTGTTGAGGTAATTCTGACACTGTGGAGAGAGAGTTAACAATGCTTTCAGACTGTTGTGTTTATGGCATTTGCATTAGCATGAATATTAAAATTATGTGTACAGTTTTCTGGGTCGAGGGCTGTGGCTAAATAACAGCAAAAAAAAAAAAAGTTTTATTTAACCACGTTCAAAGCGTATGACATGAAAAAGCAGGAAAAATAATAAAATGAGGGCACATGCAGACCAGTACTAGAAGGGAAAACAAACAAAAACCTTTGTGATCACATATTAGATTGAACTAAATAAGAAAGATGAAAACGTTTTGTATGAGCGGGTGGAAATAAATCCAGCATGGGGGATGGATGCAAACTGAGAAGAAGCTTAAAAACTGATATTGAGACAGTGGAAGAATCAGTCATTATTTTTATACCTTGGAGAACATTAAGAAGGGCAATTCAATCCAAAGCCAACAGGGGACAAAATTTCTTTGGTTCATTTCATTATTTCACTAATTTGGTTCATTAGTCCAATAAAAACCCCAATGTGGATATAAAAAAGTTTACAGCACATTATGTCTAATGACTATTATACCAATCAAACTTTCATTTACATGTATGGGAAATGTACAATCTTCAGTCCACCTGACTTACACAGGCAACAGTGCTGTACAACTACTGTGCCGCTGTCTCATCCACCTGTTTATCAATCAGGTAATGCTACTACTGTAGTGATGATGCTACATGATGAGGGAGGTCGAACATAATCTTGCAGGAACACTTAAGCAGATGCACACTCAGCGATCACATGCTGTACCTGGATGATGTGGTGGGGGAGCGCAGAGCAGCACTGCCCCCTGTCCTTCTTTGACTTTCACCGTCTCCCTCTCCTCTGACGAGAAAAGATCGAGATCTAAGAGACAGAGAACAAAATCAATTGTAAGGCAGTTTCAGACTCAAGATCCACTCCAAATCCACTGTCTTATATTCACATTTGAGTTTCATAAACCCTAAACTAAAGTTTTACAGACTGCATAAAGTTGTGCCTTTGAATTGAGCTGTGGTTTCTAATAGAAAAGTACATTAGCCACACTGGCATTATGAAGTTAGACCATTCACAAATTGCACTTTCCACGCCACTTATGATATGTCCCAGCTGCCCTTGCAATTTCAGTGCACTTAATAGGCATGAAAACACAGCTCTAGGGCAGTTCTGTCTTAAGTCCGCATGGTACTGTACATCAGTGCAGCCTGCATGGCGGTTCACATCCGGACCACTTACATCCAAACTGGACGGAGCCCACTCGGCTGATGACTGTGCCGTACGTATTGGAAGCCATACAGGAGTAATTTCCTTCATGTGTGGTTTTGATGGGGTTGCTGATGACCAAGTTGCCTCCGACTAAACTGTAGTGGCTTCCCTCTTCATTCAGATCAATTCTCATCTTGTTTAGCTTCCACCTACAGAAACAATAATTGGGGTCAGTACAATAGTGCATTCTGAAAGCAGCCAGTGTCAATGTATATAGGAGGGTATAACCACTATTTGCCTATATTCAAAATTGTCGACAAATGGTTTGTTTTACATGCAGCACCACAAAGGAGGATATTGTCAGGTAAGTTGTTTGATGCAGTGACATGCAGTATTTTAATTGCATGTGGCAAACACCTGACATATGGCCCTGATAGGCAGGGCATAATCTACCCAGGCTGGATTACAGACATAGATCTGTCTTGCAATACACCTCTGCAGACAGTGAAAGACTTTACCAAGATCCACAAACTGGAAGCTGCTCTATATGAAGGCAAAAACAAATTTCATGTTTGGAAAGGCATAACGGACTGTACTGTGGTTGAACCCTCTTAAATACTTAATACCAGCTGTGGTCAAAGCTAATTCCTTTCCCTCTGACATCTAATTCTGGGCTCTCTGACAGTGAAACTGATTTGGGGGATGCTGAGCAGTATCATTTACATATATTTACATCTAAATTGAAATGGATCATGTAAAACACTTTAAATTTGGAGCTGCAAAATGAGATGGAGACATGATGGCAATGCTGTTTATGCTACAGCTGCAGGAACATCTTATTTTTTTATTAGGTTTTCCTAGCGGTGTCCTATTTTGACATTTAAATTATTCTTGGTATGAGAAAAACACAAACATCTGTGTTAACAAAATGATTTGTGCAGATTGTTTAACAACAAAATAAAAAATATACGGTGGGTATGTTTCTGGATGGTCATGCGCGCGCGCACACGCACACACACACACACACACACACACACACACACACACACACACACACACACACACACACACATATCAAACCGTGGAAGGTTAAGATAGTCATTTTTGTGACATTGCCATTTAGAGGCAGACTCTCAAACTATGGGGTCTGCGACTATGAAAGAGCCTGAGAGATGGCGAACCATAGGAAGCATACAGAGTGCACAGTGGGCAGTAATGAGACTGGGTTTATGGGTAACATATGTTACTTGTATTTGGCAGGTGGATTGGCTCGAGCCCGGCAGTTCAGGGTGATTTTGGCCTCCGGCGACTCCTCGGGGTAGATGGTATCCACCGGCTGCTCCTCAAACACCGGCCCGTAACCTGTGGCTTCGTCTGCAAACAACACCAGGGTAAGTAACAACAAGCTGGGTCAGACTTACACACAGGAAATATCAAGGTATTCGAGCTCGGCATCTGGCTGGCAGTTCTGGGGCAGTTTCATCAAAAAAACAAGACAGCTGAGTTCAGATGGAACACAAACTAAAAACATACTGACTAGATAGTGATATTGCCCCTCTGAGGACCTGTCTTTTAACATTTCAGCAGTTTGTGGGTTTCACAGGCACACACCTCTAATGCTTAGTGGCTGGTTTCCGATAAATCCTGGTTGTATCTTTAACTAATCTAATCTTTGCAAAGACTCTCTTTCAAGCATTGTTGAAGAATAATAAGCCCATGCTTTATTTCAAATCGCAACATCACACTCATTATGACAGAGATGTGCTCACTCAGGTGCCAAACCACACTGACACATTCATCTGTTGCCGGTGGATATGATATTATTACAAGCTAATACAAATCCGGGAACTGGCAATGCTAACTTGATTTAGCATAATCCAGCGACCTTTCTTACTGCATTTGTCATCCTCAGTGCTGTGAAGCAGTTGTATAGGCAAATCCAGAGAGAGGAGTCTTCTTGATGAAAATGCCTTTCTTGGTTCAATCTGCCTGTTACACCATCAACGCAAACGTACAATTAGCCCCAATTACTCATTAAAATCAGACAGACATTATGAGCTGTGGCATGAATAAGACATAAACACAATGCCAATCTATGAATAAGCAATGAGCCAAAAATGTTCCCAAACGCTGATTATTCTCTCAGATCAAGAGTGGTGTGTAGGTGACTGCAGGAATACAAATGTGAAGCGTGCGTGTGAGTGTCTGCACGTGTGTGTTATTCCCCTGCGTTTCTGAGTTCTAAGAGAGCACAGCTGACACCTCAATGGGGAGAAGCTCGCTCTTTCAGACAGTAACATCCTGCTCCTATTCCATCCTTCCAAGTGGGCCTGCATTGGCGCTTAGGATTCACTTCACTCTGAAAATGTCATACTGACAGTGTGCAACCTTTACAAACCTGCATAAAAGACTTGTATTCTCATAATGTCCTGTCACCTGAAACTATATTCTTATAACTCACATTTACTACATTTTTGCAGAATGAGAAAATAAAGCAAGAATCATATATATTCCAGCAGTCAAACATCAATGTACAGTAATCTCCAAAACTGACAACCAAGTTTATCGTCACTGAACCAGTTGCATATTTATCTGCCTCTGCTGTCAGGAAGCTAAGGAATTAAAAGTTTCATAATCCTTACCACTATGAAAACAGATTTACAGCCACACTAGCACGTTAGCAGTACCCCAGATAGCCAACCAGGAGGCAGCAATTAAGATGTTAGGAGACAGGATCCACTCCCACCCTCACACACTCCAGCAGCCAACCGTGTGCAAGTGCTTGACATTGATACAAATCCCAAGGACTCTGAATTACTGCTGGCTGAGAGAGAATTAAACATACTATAAATGGGGCATTGTGGGGCTGATGGAAGGCAAATTAAGTGAGAAACTATGTTCTGGGAACAAGGGAGAAAGAAAAAAGAGCAAAGAGAAACTGAAACAAACGGGCGCACAAGGATGAGTAAAGGGAATATAGTGACCCTATTCTACTGTTGGACTTAAGTTGTTCTGCATGAGTGTCAAAAAAATGCTTTACATGTAAATATGAAATATAAATGTGGGATGGGCTGGAGGAGGAGAGTCACTGAGGCTCTGGAGCTGTGCTGAAATAGCAGTTGGAGTTTAACTCGGAGGGATGAGTGCTGGTGCCGTTCCTATCCATTCCCTGTAATGTAGGATGTGACAGATGGTGGAGGGGAGTGTTAAAGCTGGCCACATAAGGCCCACTGCCTGGAGACACACACAGGCCTCTTACATTCCCTCTGCCTCCTTTCACTTTTTCTCAGTCTATCTGTCTCTAACCCTCTCTGGCTTTCCTCTGTCCCCTCTCCATCTCTCTAACCTATATCCTGCAGTCACACTCTGCTCCTCTTCCTTTACCTTTCCTTTCACACCCTCTTCTCTTCTAAGGTTCTCGTAACTCTTTAGTTAACCATGCTAGTGGCTAGGACAACGGTGCTTCACTTTGGTTGAGATTGAAATGTATAAACAACTATTGGATGGCTTGCCATGAAATTATGTACAGACACTCAGGGTTGCCAGAGGATAAAGCCTACTGATATGGATGATTCCCTGACTTCTGCTCTCGTGGCACCATGAGGTTGACATTTTTGGTGAAATGTCTCAACAAGTATTGCATGGATTGACATGAATTTATGTTCCCCTCATGATATATTGTAACAACTTTAGTGTTCCCAAAATTAGTATTATTATTTTTTAAGATTATTCTTTTGGCATTTTTCTTTTAATTGGACATGAAGAGGGAGACAGCAAGCAAGAAAGGAGAGGGGGGCATGACATGCAACAAAGGTTCCAAGTTCCTAGTACGTAGTGTGTATTGCGTAGTATCTGCTGTACAATACAGCAGATACTACGCAATACATCTAATGCCATCATCAGGTCAAAGTTTCATTGTGTCCAATACTTTGGTTTATGACCAAACACCTGCAAAACTATAGACATTCCCATCAGCACCTGCTGTACTTTGTGTTTAGTGCTAATTAGCAAACATTAGCATCTTAATGTGCAGAGTATGGATAGTTAGCATGATCAACATCATACCTGCTAAATATCAGTATGTTTGCAATGTCATTGTGAGCATATTAGCCTGGTGACTAGCATTTAGCTCAAAGCACCACTGTACACAATAACAGCCTCACAGAGCTGCGAGCATGACTACAGTGGACTCTTAGTCTTTTTTTCTCTAATACTTGAGTCATCACTCTCTCCCTCACAGCTTCCCACTCTCAGTTAACTAGCAGTTTTATTATCTCTCCTAATCTGTGTGTGTCTCTCTCAGGTTCTTCTTTTTCTTCAAATCCTTTTGCTGTTTCCTGTTTTGGCTCTACTTGACTGTGGATACAATGAGTTGCCCTGTTCAACCGGCAAGTAATTATTTACACAATAGTCAACGTAGACGTGTCCCCTCCCATGCACATGTACAAAAACACAAAGAAAGAAAGATGGACAGTTACTCTCTGTACAAAAGGGGGAAGAAAGACACACAGATACAGATACACACACAAACCCACACACCCACGCACGCACGCACGCACGCACGCACACACACACACACGCGTTAGTCTAGAGGCCATCAGTCTCCAGGGCCTGGTGGAAGTGATCTTCTTCAGGATGGACTTCATTATCAAATACAGACTCCTATTCAGCTAAAGACCAACTAAAGTTTAGACTGTCACTTGAATGTGAAATACCATACAGATACAGGGGGATGCTATCTCCCCCACCATCAGTTTAAACAGAGACATCAATAATTCATTGAGGTATTATGTGCATGACAATGATTTGTTCATTTGAAATTGTATAATACCAGTAAACATACAACATCTGCAATCTGTCCAACTTGTTCATTTCTTTTCTTTTAAAATGTCTTTCTTTTTCATTTCCAGCCGTTTCAAAGGTTGCAGCTTCCTTTTTGTAAATACAATATTTTCACAATGTGTTTTTGTTTCACATCTAAATAGTCACATAATTACTCAAAATCCCAGAGGAACTTAATCCTGTGATGAATTCAGCCTTGCACACAGCTGTGTGTTTTAGCTACATCTGCAGCATGGTTTGTTTGCATGACCAAGAGAGTGTCCAAGTGGGACAGATAACATATTGTTTCCTGGAGGCGCCAAACACAGTGTAGCAATAATTACCCACAAGCCCCTGAGCCACACAATGAGGCATGATAACAGACAAATTGTCCCTGGAGTGAAAAAGTGTAATGTTTTTAATTTTCTGTATTAAATAAATAATATTAAATTATTACGTTTCACTGCAAGCCCAGTTATTTGCAGAAGTATGTGCTGTGTCTGTATGTATATGCTCAGTGTGGTGCCAGCTGTGTTATAACAAGGGATATCAAAGAGAATCATTCTCTGAAATGGCAGCTGGAACAGAGGTATTCAAACAGGACATATTAGGTTTTCACAATCCATGACGGACATTACAAAACTGAGTACACCCCTGTGCAATATCACTAACAAAGGAAATTGGTGTTTCAGACAGTGCGAAGGACACTGTATGTAATTAACCTCTATGCACGGCATCCAAGAAGAAAACCATTATTCACAAAGCAGCACAAAACTGCAAGAACTGCCAAAGGACATGAAAAGAAGTGTGATAAATATTGGCAGCACATTCTTGGTCAGATGAAACCTGATGGGGTCCAGCATGCTTGGCGTGGACCTGGCCAGGACTACCACAGAGACTGCACAGTGACAGCTGTGAAACATGTAGGTGGGGCTGCATGAGTGCAAAAGGTGTAGGGGACAAGACATTTATAGATAGCACGATGAATGCAAGTTTGTGTAGCCAAATACATTCTTCCTACATGTCAATGATCCCACACTGTAAAAATCTGATGAGTTTTTAAGGAAGAGAAAAGTGAAAACGATAACCTGACCAACTATGTCCCCTGACTTGAATCCAATTCAATACAATCCACGTTTCATCACGTTACAGGCATCAAAATGTCCAAAGAACCACTTCTGCAGCATTATTCACTTCTCTGCTGCTGTGTGTTCTAATCACCAAAGCATCTAAAACCATAAATGCACTGCAGGTGCTCGAACCAACACACACGTGCTCACAAGCTCACAAGTCATGCCTGGGGACTGAAGTGGAAGCAGTTTATGGATAGGGATACACCGAGGTAATGCAGGGCCAGGAGTTACTGTGGAACTATGGACTGAGTTGGTGGTCCCTTGTGACTAAATGACAAAAATAATGTAACTGACAGAAGAAACACAATTTTATAATGACACTGACAACTGTGTTTGACCAACATACATGAGTTACATCATGAAAGATACACAATCTGCTTAGTTAAGGTCTTAGATGTTAGATTAGGTCTTAGCTTTTTAGATCAGTGTTTGAAACGCACTGAACGTCGGAATGAGCAGCTGAGAGATGGTGGCTATTGACATTTCGATACTTTTTTAATGCAGACCATTAAAGGCTACAGGGACTGACTGGTACTAAAGAGACAGATAGTGTGATGGACATTAACATTGCTATGCGCTTAATGATAAGCAGTTCGCTTGTAAGAAAAAAGAGGGATTCTGCAGTGTGTCCCAGCTGGAAGGCAGCCTACACAATGTTCTGACCTTTGAGGAGCTTGGTATCAACTGCCTCCTCCTATGACTGCGCCTTCATCTTTGTCCAAGTTTGACAAAGAGTTCAAAATTATAAAGCATAAGCAGCACAGTCTCACATGTTTCAGTGTTGAGTGACCTTAAACAGTGTAGTCTAGTGTATCACACTGATGTGTGCATCATCAAAAGCAATCAGCAGAGCCCAAGCAACATCCTGCTGTGTTGTTCCTGCAGACAAGTGGAGATAATGTCAACATGTCCAGGAGGTGACAGTCCACACAGGCACACAGGCTGTGAAAATCATCTGCTGTTGATGCTTCATGGAGAAGAAAGGGGAATGAATGGGTAGAAAACAGAAGAAAAGAAAAAAGAGAGACAACCACAAAAAAAGACTCTTGTCATTACTGGTTCCACCAACAATTCAACCTGAATGCAGCTTGTTCCCAAGCAACGAATCAGCAAGCCGTCTTTTTTCCATTTATCCCTTGCTGACAGCTGCCTCCATGGGACAAATATCATGCAGATAATGCAAAAATTAAATAAACACACACAGTAAAATATTTAAACTTATGAACAGAGATCTGCTTTTTGATTTGAGCTTGAGCTTGGAGCATTTGATTTTCCTTTTGCCAGACACTTGACTTAAAGGAACAGTAGGACATTTTGGGAAATACATTTACTCACTTTCTTGCCAGTGGTTAGATGAAAAGATCAATATGGACTATTTCTGGACTACTACTTGGCCTGGAACAAAGACTTGCTTGAGTCTCAGCTGGTTGCCTGGCAACCATACAGTGATGCCACGCCAAAAATTAGTTTGGCACATAACCCACTGTAAAACCCCTACTTGTTGTTTATACACGATTTTTGAACAACTGAGTCAGAACTTGTTAATTACTGAGCTTTAGAGGTGCTGTTAAGTGGATTGTGTTACCATTGGACAAACACACACACGCACACGCGCACACACACACACACACACACACTCACTCACTCACTCACTCACTCACTCACTCACTCACTCACTCACTCACTCACTCACTCACTCAGTGTATGACTCAATCACACAGCCATACAGTGCATTATTTTTCCTCCTCTGTCCCATCTATCAACCTCACAATGAGGCATGGCAACTGTAATTCTGGCTTTAATGACCATCCTGGATTCCTTTGCCCAGTACAGTGCAATGTCTTGGACTGTCCCCATTAATGTACATTTCCAAGTAGGAGAAATCCAGAAATAGCAACCGTAGAAAGAAACATGACCTCCAGATAGATTTTCATTTGTCCTGTCCTATTGTAGACCATGGGAAAAGGAGGAGCCGTCTGTCACTGCATGTCCCTTAACAAATCCTGACAGGCGGATACTATTGTAGTTTTACCACCTCAGGGGCTGGAATGAGCAGAAATGGGCAGCTGAAGCCCATTTGGAGCTGATATACTTTTTTCTTTGGTTTTCATTGTAGTTCAGTACATGAGTTTAACAGCAGAGTAGAAAAGCTTCAATGATTAAGGAGGAGGTATACTTCTCAATGCCATATTATCTCTCTGATATTTTATAATTTAACTTTGCTTCATTGCTCTTTAGTTGAACCTGCCAAGAGGAGTGTATTTTCTTTGACAAGGCATTGCATGTAGTGTAGTGCGTAAGTTTTTCCCCAATGTTTGGTTGTCTAGAATTATAGGAACAGCATCAGGAGCTGATTAAAATGTTTAACAAACACAAAGTTGTGCAACAGATGTCCCCTCTTCTGAACTGCATAATGTCTTTCTGAGGAAATCTAAAACCCTGTGATGATGTACATGAATAAACAACTAGGTTGCAAAATGGAGTGTTACTCCACAGCAAAGTTATGCCAGGTCACATGTGAGAATGATTTTGAAAGAGTAATGTAATAAGCAACCAAAAGTCACTGGCCTTATTCTTCTCAAACAGATCTAGTGGTGTAGCCTTGACTATGAATCACAGCTTCCTCCAATGAACACCAAGGCCACAAGCTCATTAACCTGCCACTGAATAGGTGCAGCTTCTTTGTCTCTGGTTTGAAGACTACAAATCAAACGGAGAGTCTTTGAATTTTGTTGCTATCCTATTTTTCACATTTCACGTTTTGTGGTCTTGGTTTGAATGAGCAGCTAGAATAAATATGTTCATAAAAGTAAATTGCTTGTCGACCCACTGACCTTTCTAGTTATTAAACACTCTCTGTGACCTCCTGGTCAGCCTCAACCTCGAAACCTTATTACCACCGGTGTAACATTTTATGAATATTTTCTGGACATTAAAACTTTGTACACTTGTGAATGGATTTTAAAAAATGCATGAATTTAAGGTGGAAGCTCTTCATTACATTTCCTTACCTCTGTAAAAGTCAGGCACCTCCCCGTGAAATGATGCATCTGTAAGAAAGGACATTATATCAGCATTTTGAACCATAACGCTGCAAACGACTCCTGATTTCAATTACTTCCTCTGTTCTTGACTACAGGTGAATTCCTCTCATTTCTCACAGGATACAACAAGAAAACTGATCAAAACCTTTTATACACCATTATGAAGTCTCTTCAGTGAGGGGCAGGTGTTTGATAGAATTCCATTTTTGCTGCTGAGAATGTGATGAATGGCTGGAAAACCAGCTTTTTGGAACGAAAGATTACCTTTACTGTGAAATCCACTACATCCTGTCCTTCACAATACAATACAAAACTAAAAAACTTTTGTGGTTGGCCTTGAGGGTTTAATAACTTATGGTACATTTAGAGAATGGAGAAGACAGTCATACCAGCCGGATGATTAAACAATAACTATGACGGTTAAATACTCTCTGTCTAAGAATTACCATGGCCTGGCTGAACCACACACACTCTATGCTTTAGTTGTAGGGTAGTGTGTGCTTGACTTTTGCTCTGCTGTCAAAACATTAATGTCACATTAGCCATCAAACTTTATTCTTGTTGGGGCTAAACAAAAATGTCAAGCCAATGTTCTCTACCCACAATAACACCCTGAGTCTGCTGGTTGGCTGCTGTCTGTTTAGATAGAGCAGCCATACAGAGTTCAGCCCTGTGTGAGCTGTGCGACCGTATATGTGCTGTTGATGTATGTTTATCTGCCCATTCCTTTTCTGTAGCTGTATGTGAGAGCATTTCCAACAGGATATTCTGAGCTTTAGCTGCAGTGCTGCCAAAATCTAAGCTGCGAAGCTACAAGTACCTTCCCATATGAAAAACACAAAAGAGAGAAAGAAAGATAAATCTCCTCAGTCTCAAAGTCTGTTTGAGAAGGATGTGGTGAGAAGCCAGAATTCCCAATCCCAGCTCCCATTTTTTTTTGGTTCATGTGAAATCTAGTCTGAAACAAGTGTGAACAGCCCCAGGTATGGGAACACAGCGGAGGTCGTATCTTTTTTAGACAGGTCATTTTCAGGCCTGCTGTTTTCTGTCCACTTTCCTTTGTTTCCAACACAGATGATTGCACAACGAGATCACAAAAAAAACCAAATGAAAACCTGCAAACTCAAGGACCTCCAAGCGCATGATTGCCCAGCCTGGTTTGTCAGATATATGTTATCTTTGCCGCTTTTCCTACAATTTATGCTCCTTTTACAGCCGGCCTTGGTATGTATCTAATATCTTTCATCGAGTCCTGATTTAGCTAGTTTGCATTACTCCTGACATTAAAACACATCTTCACTGTAGTCAATAAAAACAGATTTCTACGTTAATCCTCGAGGCACAAATCACTTCTAACGTCATTATATTCACTATGTTGAGGTAGTGATTAGCAGCTTTTTGACACTTTGTCTTTCCTACTCCCCATTCACGAGTCCATTGGCAATCCAGTTTTGATGAATATTTTACTATCCGAGTTGTCTGCCACCTGTTTGTTTTTCATGCATCGTAGTTGGAGCCACCAATCAAAATTTCTCTATTTCTGTAGCCGCTGTATCGCAGACACATTGCACAGACTGTTAGTGCCAAATGAATCTTTGCGAACTGGATTTTTGAATCGTTATACTTGATGAAGATAAACAGCATACAAGTAAAACAGTCGAGTTAAATGAGCAATGTCCTTTTGAATTCTCAGTGCTGTTCACTGCCAATGTTTGAAAAGCAAATTCTCAGAGAGCAAAGTGTTCCCACTGCTGAACTAATTACAACATTTTATGTAGCACTGATGCCAAATAAGTACAAATTTGTTATTTACATGTTTTTTATTTCAAGCACTGAGTTGAAAAATGTAATAACTATTACAGACATAAAAACATTCAACAGTTATATGTAAGTAGCATGACTGAATGTAAAGAATGATTTTATACATGTGATGCTTTCATCCAACAGCAGTGATACAGTACCTCAAAATATCTTTTCACACATTCTGAGAATGAATTTAGCTGATGTGCTACTGACCTGCAGGGGAGAGTGAGAGGACCAGGAGATGGAGGAGCAGGGTGAGGTGCAACATGATGCTGATGTAAGAACCACCTGGTGGGGTTACAGCTAGAAGCTCGGCTGATGGAACATTAGCAGGACATTAGCCTGGATTTCCTTAAAGAGACCTAAGAAAACAGGAAGAGAGAGAGAGATCGTCACATGAAGAAAATAAAAATCTTACAGAAAATGATGTTAGCTAAAACTTTGAATATACATTAATATGATAAAACCTCCACTGCAATTCAGAGAATTTACCACAGTAACAAAATATATAAACTGGCAGCGCAAAAAGAGGCTGTTGACCATTTTTTAATCCAACAAACCAATATTTATTGTATGAGATAAATAAAAATCTAAGAGCACGTTAATGCTAAATATGCTTCTTGTGCATCCATCCATATATTGGATCTTTCTTATAATATAAAACCACAATTAAAAGGCAGGGACCCCTTACCCTAACCTGAATATAGTACATTCCTATTGTAAAACCAGCCGTTACAATCTGTGTGTGTGCAGAGCTGCAAATAATAATAACTTTCATTACTGACTAATCTTTTTTCAATTGAATGATCAATTGGCTGTTTGTAAAATGTGCAAAGCTAGTAAAAAAAAAAAAAAAAAACATTGTGTGAAAGTTGAGTTTCTAACAACATTTTTAAAGTTTTTACTGTTTTTTCAGTTGTAAATTTACTTTAATAGTCAATTTGTAAAATCATAGAAAACAGAATAAAACCACAAGGCGTCATATTTGAAAGGATGCAAACAGAATATATCTTCTTTATACTTGCTTCAAACAATTTACTCTCAAAAACGTTATTGATTAATTTTTTATTTACAGACTAATGGAATATCTAATCATCTCAGGATTGTCTTAATGGCACTATCCATTAAAGGAGACATCTGTCTCATATGGAAGGCTAACTGTGTATGTAAACTGTGTCAGGATCAACCTGTGTCGTAGCATAGGACAAGCTTCACCAACCAAAATGCACAGCGCTGCAGCAACTTAGCCGTGTCTCTGCTTCCTGCCAGCCTCCAAGGCACAAGCTCTTTGATTGGTTGCCACCTGATGATTGACATTTGGACAGTTGCCAGAAGAAATCCCGTGTATTGGTTTAGTCAAGCAGGCAATTTGATGCTCACTCACTGTTCCCATGATGTTAACACCACACCAGGAACCACCAGCGCAACACTGGCTATCAGCCTCATGCCCAGTAACACAATATGAAAAGCACCAGCTGTCTGAGTGTGGACGCACACTGTGCTGACAGAGACAAGAGGAGGAGACAAAGATCATTGCTCCATAATGGTGGAGAATATTCTCCATATAATTGATATTCTAAATCAGATCAGACTGAAAATGTTTCATGTGTTCTGAATAATCTGATTTATAAAACAAAGCATGCCCCCCATTACAGAGGCAAATATCCTCAGACTGAGACAGGTCTAGAAGATAACTGTTTCAGCAATTTCAGCTTATAGTAATAGGAGATTCTGAAACAATCTCGCCCCAAAAACAGTGAAAGAATACTAATGTGGTCAGATGAAGGTCTCTCTCTTAGATGGACCAAGGACTTTTGAGTGATGCTCAGAAGTAATTTATTCCCCAGCTAATCATTTAATTAAGTATTACGCCAAAAGAAAGAACCTTCAGGGAAATTATATGGGAAATATGTCACATTGCAGGTAACAGAGCAAATTCTTAGCATCAACATCAAGTCTCTTGACATATTAAGAGCTGGAGAAGAAATACTGTAAAAAAAAAAATCTCTAATTTACACCATATTTTTGTCAGAATAAGTCAATTTTACTCTTAATGTCTTTTCAGTGTGTGTTGACCAGCAGACTGTCAAACTCACAACCAAATGGAACACCTCATACATTCAAGCAAACCTGTCCATTCATTCCCAAGTTGTGCTCGCCTGGTGTGTTGATTAGAGTGTAATTGAACATGAGGCAGATACTATTGATTCTTTGTGCACAGCCTGAGGTATCAGCTGGCGGAGACTCAGAGGTGTGACAGCAGGATTGAGATCTCACAGTCTCCAGAGTAAATGAAGTCTGAATGGATGATAGAAGAGAGTCGGTGTAATATTCCAGCTTTGCATGACGCAAACAAAATCACATTTAAGAATAAACATGCAAACACTGCCAGACAAAAACGAATTAAGAAAAACGGGGAAGAATTACTGTTCAACTATACCACACACACAATAAGTTGGACATAATGTCCGAGCTGTACAGCTGCAGGGAAGCAGTACAGAGGAGATTTCATTTTCACGCTGGCCTGTATCCTAGCAACACCTTTCAAAAGGAGCAGTTTGTGTGCTGCGGGGGGCCTTTTGTGACCGGCAATGAAACTATGCAAACACTCATTTTAATCTGGAACAACACTGCTGTTGTGGAACGGAGACCTAGGGTGCTGTTCTCATCTATTAAAGACATTCATCTCTTGCTGTCTTCAGACAAAGAGATGAAAAAATAAGTTTATTAAGACTCTTTCCCTCTCATTCTCTACTTCACTCTGCAGCTACATTTTTACAGTAAGTATAATTTCTGTAACTCATAAATCATAAATGATCTTAATAGATGCATTTAGGAGATTAGGGGAGATGACAAGGAGCCTCATTATAGCGTCACAGTACATTGTGAAAGGACCAATCCCATATATCCCATTAAGAAGTGTCATTGAATTGATATACTGTAAGAAACCATCAGACCGGCACCACACAGAAAGGCAGCATGCTCTTATAATCAGTATTAATGGGGCCTCCTACCTCTCCTGTCCTATCTTAGCAGCCAGAATGCACGTGATGAGAGTGCTCCAGTCATCACAGTAAATCACAAGGCCCAGACGTGACAGCCCTCAAACAAGGCCATTTCTTCTCCCCCATAAATCACACCCTGGATGTTGCCAGAGCTATTACTGCTTGTGGTTTGATTTTGGTGGTTTTTCTTGTCAAGGTTTTTTTTTTCCTCTCCCAGCTTCATTTTGCTGGCTGAATTTCAATCTCTTTCTCTCGCTCCCATTACTCCCATTAGAATTCTCAACCTCATTACTCCGAAATCAGAAATCATATTACACCGAGCGGAGGCTGCTGGGGGCAGATTTTGGGATTTTACTGTTGCACTCTGATGACCAAATCTGTGCTTTTTATCATGACCCCATAACCCCCTTAGGGCATTATGGGCTCAGCGAAAGTGAGTAAAAACCCCTCCTTTTCCGTGCTTGGCCTGATGCGAGCTGCATAATCAAGTGGGGAACTTTACAGAAATATGTCTTCCCCTATCAGCTGGGGCAGATCCATCGATGTGGGGGAGGAGGAACCAAGGGAAAAGAGGGTAGGGTGGAGGAGGGGATGATGGAGGGGTCAGAGTGGCAGTAGGCTTCAAAAACAAGATGTTGCTCCGACAACCCCACCCCCCCTACCACCACCATTACCCCTTACACACAAACACAATCAACAGAACCACCACAATCGGTCATTAACAACAGATTTGATGTAATCCTGTGAAGGGAACCCAAGATGGGGTTAACACTGGATTGGTCTTAATCAGTTAGAGAAGGAAAAATGAGCACTTCTTAGACATCGTGCCAGCTACAGCAGCATCCATGTCACGTCTGAATTCCAGGAGGATGCAAACATTTCTATCATGTAGTAAAGACTGGCAGAGCTGTTAAGAGCTGAAACGATCAGTCCGCTAATTGATTAGTTGATCGACTGAAAATGTATCTTCATCTGTCTTGATAATCAATGTACTGCTTCAGTTATTTACTGAGTAAAAATGCCAAACATTATCTGATTCCAGTTCCTGTGAGGATTTTCTGCTTTTCTGTTTTATATTATTGTAAAGTGAATATCTTTATATTCTGGACTGCTGAATAAAACAAGCAACTTGAACACCCTGAGCACTGGAAAAGCCATTTTAACTATTTTCCCACATTACATAGACATAACAATTGACTAATCAAGATGCCTCACAGTTGTATGCCTCCACAAACAAATCAAGTTGAAGGCAATATAGTCACAATCTCCCCTTCCTGGTTTACAGCATTTAATAATGGCCACAAGTGTTTGTTTTTTTTAACATTATGACCTCAGTGAAGTAAAATGTCATCACTTCATCATTTTATCCTATTAGACAACTGTGTTAAATAGTATCATAATCAGTGTATGACTTATTGAATTGTGGCTAAAAAAGGTCACCATGATCTTGACCTTTGACCTCTGACCACCAAATTCTAATCAGTTCATCCCTGAGTCCAAGTGGATGTTTGTGCCAGATGTAATGAAATTCCCTCTGGGTGTTCCTGAGGTATCATGTTCACAAGAATATGAGATCACCGTGACCTTGACCTTTGACGTTGACCCCCAAAATCTAATTTGTGCAGAGTCCAAGTGAACGTTTGGCGGTCTTCAGATGTCACATTCAAGCGGCCAAAAATGTGATTGTGAGGAGAGAGTGACCTTGACCTTTAACCCAAGTCCAAGTGAAAATTTTTTACCAAATTTGGAGAAAAGAAAGGTGTTAGTGAGATATGGCATTCATGGGATGGGAATGGAGCAAGTGGATGGGGAACCCAAAAACATAATGCCTCCGGCCACGGCTGTCACTGGTGCAGAGGCATAAAGAAAAAAAATCGATAATGAAATAGAATAATCAATAATGGAAATAAATGTTAGCAGCAGCCCGCGTGTTGTTGGTTTCTCATTCTATGTGAAATATTTTATCAACTGAAGTTAACAGTTTGACTGGACAATATATTCATTTTTAATCATTTACTGCTGATTGTTTTTATCGATCTGTGGGATTTTAAAAGTATTATTATGAAATATTATGAACTGCTTTGTTTTCTGAATTAAATGAAAAAAAACAAGTAGCATATTTAATTTCTCCCACAATGATTTCTGTAGTAGTAAAATGCCACCTCATTTTCAACACCTGAATATCATATTGTGATATACTGTTTATTAAACAAATAGTTCAACATCTTGGGAAAGATGCTTATTCACTTTTTTCCAACGAGTTAGATGAGAAGATTGATACCACTCTCATAACTATATGGTAAATATATTGGCAGATTTTGTTACCTTTGGAGAGAGCCTGGCTAGCTGTTTCTTCC